CACTGCAAGCTCCGCCTCCCAGGTTCACGCCATTCTCCTGCCTCAGCCTCCCGAGTAGCTGGGACTACAGGCGCCCACCACCACGCCCGGCTAATTTTTTTTTTGTATTTTCGGTAGAGACGGGGTTTCACTGTGTTAGCCAAGATGGTCTCCATCTCCTGACCTCGTGATCCACCCGCCTCGGCCTCCCAAAGTGCTGGGATTACAGGTGTGAGCCACCACGCCCGGCCGAGAAAGTGTATTTCTATGCCACAAGTCTGCACTTTTTTTTTTTTTTTGACACCAAGTCTCACTCTGTTGCCCAGGCTGTAATGCAGTGGTGCAATCTTGGCTCACTGCAACCTCAGCCTCTCGGGTGCAAGCAATTCTCATGCCTCAGCCATCTAAGTAGCTGAGATTATAGGCATGTGCCAGCACACTTGGCTATTTTTTGTATTTTTAGTAGAATGGGGTTTCTTTTTCCAGGTTGGTCCCAAACTCCTGGCCTCAAGTGATCCATCCACCTCAGCCTCCCAAAGTGTTGTGATTATAGGCGTAAGCCACCACGCCCAGCCTTGCTTTTTTACACTGATTCCATGTGGAAATTGTAATGTTTTGGATGTTGGGTTAAATATATTACTAAAATTAATTTCACCTGTTTCTTTTTACTTTTTTAGAGTGGCCAGAAGATTTTTAATCACTTATGTGGGCCACTGCACCCAGGCCTAGCCTCCATTACTTTTTAAGAGGAAAGCCCATGAAAGAAACATTAAGTGGAAATCAAGGAAATCAGAGTCACCTGTTCCAGGGGGCCCAGGCCTACCTTGAGGGAGCGGTTGTGCCGCTGCAGCTCACGGCATAGGCTCTCAAGCTTGCTACGGGCCAGGACGGCCTTACTGTGCTCACCACGCAGATGGTCCTTCTCTTGCACCAGCTGGCTCTGCTTCTTCTGCAGGAGCTTCATCTGCTTCTGTGAGTTCCGGTGCTCCTCCAGCTGGGGACAGGGATAGGGAGGGCAGGTGAGCATCCTGTGAGGCCTTCCTGGTGGGGACCACTATTCGGGTCTAGGCTCTCCTGAGCTGCCCTGAACCGCACCGTTTCAGACCAGGAGTGCTCTCATGGGCTGATGCTGTGCTGTTGCTTACACACTCCTCCCATGAACTCACACTAACCCCGAAGCCTCCACCATAGGGACAGAGAAATGGACACTCACTAGGGCAAGCAGGGGCCACGCAGCCAGCAGATGCCAATTCCTATTCCAGCTCTGACTCTGGGCCACTAGAGCCACTTCAAGCTGTTGCATTTCCCCAACTTGCTGGACACTCATGCCCAAGGATGAGACCACCTGCTACCCTACCTTGTGCCTATTAACAGACCCCCATCGCTCCCTTACATTCCTTCAAAACGTTAGCACTGGGTTCATCAGCACTCTCCCCAGCACAATTACTTTTCTCATTTCTGGCCACTTCAGTATCAACAGATTCCTTCTGACTCCCTGGTCTCCCAGTCCTTCAGTTCTTCCACAAACCCACTCCTTTCTCCAGCTCAGTTCCCCTCCCATGACCCTATCCAGGCCTATACAACAGAAATATAATGCAAACCACATAAATAATTAAAAATATTCTACTGGCCACACTGAAAAAGTAAAAAACAGGTGAAATTAATTTTAGTAATATATTTATTGTAACCCAATATCCAAAACATTACAATTTCAACACGGAATCAATGTAAAAAAGGGAGGCCGGGAGCGGTGGCTCACACCTGTAATCCCAGCACTTTGGGAGGCCGAGGCAGGCAGATCACTTGAGGTCAGGAGTTCAAGACCAGCCTGGCCAACACGGTGAAACCCCGTTTCTACTAAAAAAAATACAAAAAAGCAGCCAGTTTGGTGGCACATGCCTGTAATCCCAGCTACTTGGGAGGCTGTGAGGCAGGAGAATCGTTTGAACCTGGGAGCAGGACATCACGCCACTGTATTCCAGCCTGGGTGACTGAGACACTATCTAACAAAAAAAGAAGTGAAATGTTTTATATTCTTTGTTTTTGCTTAAGTCTTCAAAATCTGATGTCTATCTTACATTTACAGCACGTCCAAATTCAGACTGGCCACATGTCAATTAGCTAGAGACGAATTTATCTTGGACAGCGCAGATCTAGACTTTGTCACTACCAGACAGCACACCCACTATCTCAATTTCCAGCACCCCAGGCCAGGACTACCATCACCTATCTTTTTAGCTTATTCCAATCAATATCTGTGATCCTCAGAAAATCTCTTACCCTATAAGGACCTCCAATCCATTGACTCAACCATCCTTCCACTCTCCTTTAAAATAACCACTTACCTTATTACCTGGCTTAGATTTCTTACACCCTCAACTCTCTTGGCCCTTCCCCAGTAATACTGCAACCCTAGTAAAGCACCTTCCTGCTTTACACCAGTACTGAAACAACCCTACTTGAAGAGTCTCACTTTAAATTCACGGCCACCAATTTCAGGAAAAGCAGCAATCTCAACACAATGCACATGCTATTCACACTCCTCTCCTTCCAGACAACTAACTATTCATCGTCCTCATCAAATCTCAAAACACAGAAGAAACCAGAGAATCAGGGGCAGAAGCTCCACATCTGCCAGTACACCTGCCCTGTCCTCTCCTCCAGTCACACAGACCTAGCCATATGGTTACCACAGCCAAACCCCCTTCTTGGGTACTGGGCCTCAGGTCCCCTCCTCTACTCACACCACCACTCCAACAACTCATTTCCTCTCTTGCATCAGCAATTTTCCCCTGGCTGGATCACTCTAAAAGGGTGCTTATCTTCCTTACACCTTTTATTTAATCCTTACAAGAATGTCATTAGGCAGGTATGACATTCCCCATTTTACAGATGAGTAAAGTTCCCTACAGGAAAATATTAATAAATGTGTGTGGAATGAATTAATTTTAACATAAATACTTAGAGGCTAGGCGCAGTAGCTCACGCCTGTAATCCCAGCACTTTGGGAGGCCGAGACGGGCAGATCACGAGGTCAAGAGATCGAGACCATCCTGGCCAACATGGTCAACCCTGTCTCTACTGAAATATACAAAATTTAGCCAGGCGTGGTGGCGTGCGCCTGTAATTCCAGCTACTCGGGAGGCTGCAGCACGAGAACTGCTTGAACCTGGGAGGCGGAGGTTGCAGTGAGTCAAGACCATGCCACTGCACTCTAGCCTGGTGACAGAGCGAGACTCCATCTCTAAATAAATAAATAAATAGGCTGGGTGCGGTGGCTCACGCCTGTAATCCCAGCACTTTGGGAGGCCGAGGCAGGCAGATCACGAGGTCAGGAGATTGAGACCATCCTGGCTAACACGG